CTGTGCTGACAGTTAGCTCAGAGCCTGGAGCCTGCTTCAGATTCTGTATCTCCTCCTCTCTCTGACCCTCCCCTGCTCATGTTGTCTCTCTCTCTCTCTCAGAAATAAATAAAAAAAACATTTAAAAACTTAAAAAAAAGGAACTATTTATTGAGTACCTACTAGTGCCACTATTTTAATAGGGAGTCATATCACAGGAAGGGTAGGCCATAGCAAATAAGTAGGCCATAAGCATATAAAGAACATTTATTATCTAGTAAAAGGAACAAGCTTTCCCCCCCGCCCTTTTTAAGGTATTTTAGGGTCATCAGAGGCAGAATTCTATAGATGGCAGCATGAGATTCTGTTTCTTGGTTATTCAATCGAACATGAGCGTAGGTACTGCTGTGAAAGGATTTTGTTGATGTCGATAAAGTCCCAATTCAGTCAACTTTAAAATAAAGGGATTATCCAAGTGAGCCTGACCCAAGTGGGTGAAAGCCTTTGAAAACAGAGACTTTCTCCAGCTGATAGCAGAAGGGAAAGTCAAAGCATGAGAAGGACTCACACACTGCTGCTCTTTTGAAGAAGGTAAGGACCACATGAGAAAGAATGCAGGCAGTCTCTAGGAGAAAGCTACTCTAGCTGAGGATGGGCAGAAAATGGAGACCTGACAACTACATCCCAAGGAAGTAGACTCTGGCAACAAGAAGAATGAGATTAAAGCAGATTCTTTCCCAATCTGCAGCTAAGAGCCCATCCCACCTGACACCTGACTTCTGTCTTGCTAGACCCTAGGCAAGGAATCCAGTGGAACCCTCCTGGACCTCGACCTATGGAAATCATGTGGTTATTTGTTACCTCAAAATAGGAATGTAATGGAAATGACTAAATAGCTGCATTATGGACCATATGAACGGAAGGCATTGTTGCCTGTACAGAAATATTCCCGGTATTTAGTTCTCCAAGAACTATGCTATGTGATGAGACTACAACACTTTCTATTTCTCTAATCAAAGACAGCTTATTGAATTTATCTAATTCTTAGTGTCTTCTTTAAAGTCATGAGGATAATTTTATGTCAGAGAAAGAATTTTTAAAATAAATAATACAATAAAACTTAATCAGTGAAAATATCTGTCCAAAAATGAACATCAGCTTCCCTAAAGAGCCATATCAGTAGAGCACAGCTCTAGGAACCAAACTATCTAGATTCATATTTTGTATGAGTCTCAATTTCTTTATCTACAAAGTGAAAATGATGCCTGTCCTCTCTATTTCAGAGATTTTTATTAGGATGACATGTCTGTGAAAGTATACCATACCAAAAAAATATATATCTTTTAGTTATATTTAGCAGCAGCTAGGAAGACTTTTATGGACCAGACACATGTTTTCTGCCTTTACTATTTGACTGGGCAGCTGAGTTGACTTAGAACCAAAGAAGAAAAGAGAGCAAAACCAAATACCATGTAAATAAGAGTGGCTTTGCATTTGGACCCTACCTACATGTTCAGAGGCCCACATGCTTTTTATGCCACCCTATACTCTCAGACTGATCCCTTTATAAGTGGCCTGTTCAGCTGAAGAAAGAAATATATTTCCCCCCTGTGCACAGATGTGGCTTGGTCTCATTTAGTCTTAAATCCTATTCTGGTGCATTGCCTCAACTTCCTAGAAGGGGCACTGTTCTCTTACTTGCACAAAACTCTAGGTAGGCTAAAAAAAAGTATTTAAAATATTAACTTCTAGGGGTACCTGGGTGTCTCAGTCATCTCTGGATTGATTTTGGCTGAGGTCATGATCTCATGGTCATGAGACTGAGCCTCGTATTGGCTCCGTGTTAAGCATGGAGCCTGCTTGAGATTCTCTCTCTCTCTCTCTCTCTCTCTCTCTCTCCCCCTCCTCCCACTCACACAACTCTCTCTCTCTCAAATTAAAAAGAAATTAACTTCTACATGTCATTCCATAGAACACCAAGCTCCTCCAAAACTTATATTAAGAAGATTTTTAAAAACCTGATTTCATTTCTGCAAAAGACAACATCAAACAAATGACAAAACAAAACACAGACTGGGAGAAAATAGTTGTAAAATATGCATCTGATGAAGGAGTATTTTCTAAAGCATACAAAGAACTTTTAATGTTTACTGATAAGAAAACAAAACCTGATTAAAAAATGGGCCAAAGACCTTAACAGACACCTCATCAAAGAAGATATACAGATGGCAAAAAATGTATGAAACGATGTTAGATATTTATATCATCAGAGAAATGCAAATTAAAGCAACAATGAGATACCACTACATACCTCACTCAGAGTGGTCCAATCCAGGAACACTAACAACAGCAAATGCTGACGAAGATATAGAACAACAGGAACTCTCATTCATTGATGGGAAAAAAAGCATAGCCACTTTGGAAGACAGTTTGTCATTTTCTTACAAATCAAATATACCCTTACCATACGATCCAGTAATTTCAATTCCTTGGTATCTATCCAAAGAAACTGAAAACTTCTGTCCATACAAAAACTGAGGTACCTGGGTGGCTCAGTCATTTAAGTGTCCAATTTTGGCTCAGGTCATGATCTCATGACTCATGGGTTTGAGCCCTGCGTCGGGCTCTGTGCTGACAGCCAGCTCAGAGCCTGGAGCTTGTTTCGGATTCTGTCTGCCTCTCTCTCTGACCCTCCCCCACTCACGCTGTCTCTCTCTCTCTCAGAAATAAATAAAACATTAAAAAAAAAAAAGAAATGAACTATTAAGCCATGAAAAGGCATGGAAGACCCTTAAGTGTGCCTATATTACTAAGGGAAAAAGCCAATCCGAAAAGGCAACTTACTGTATGATTCAAACCATATGACATTTGGGAAAAGGAAAACCTATGGAGCCAATAAAAATCAGTGGCTATCGTAAATCAGAGTGAGCAGAGATGGATAAGCGGTGTATGTGGGGATTTTAGCGCAGTGACAATACCATGCATGACACTATAATAATGAATACATGCTGTCATACCTGTGTCTAAACCCAGGGAATAGCAAGAATGAAACAACCTAAACTCTAGACTTTATGATGTATCAGTGTAGGTTCGTCAGTTGTGACAAGTGTATCACACTGGTGGAGGGGCTGAGAACGAGGGATGCCCGACGTGTTTAGGCCCGGGGCTATTTGGGAAATTTCTGCACCGACCTCTCCCTTTGCTGTGGACCCTACAAGTGTTCCACCAAAAAATAAAGCCTCGAAAAACTTCAGTTTATAAAAAGCATCAAGTATGTTTCCAAAACAGAATATATTAGTAAATGCTTCGGTAATGTGGCTGAATTTAAGGTTAATGCTTACAAATAACTATAAATGGAAGGGTGCCCAGTGATATTTAATAAGGCACTTATCACAAGCAATCAGTACATGAAAGTGCACTTCCTACACAAGTCTCCAATACGGCTATGAAATCTTCACTATTTCTCATTCTTTCTACATGCCTATTTATAATTAGGGTTACATTATTTTTAGTAATGCTTACTGAGGTGTCCCTGAGGCTTTGAGGATATTAAAATTATCATCCATAAAATCCAGGATAATACAATCTATTATACTGCTTTACTTTGTAGATAAGTAGTAACTGATTTCCATATGAATTACTAACAAATAGCAAAAGAAAAAAAAAAGAAAGAAAAGAAAAAAAGAATTTATTAAGTATATATTTAAGACATTATTTAAGTAAAAATGGGCATTTCCTTTGGTAATGATTGCAACTAATATAATTTTCATGGTATACATGTACTCATGTATATTCATAAATTTGTTCCTACTTGATACAAATATTCTTAGGATTGAGGTGAGATTTAGAAACAATCTAAAGTATGGTTTCTGACTGAAATACTCCTGGAGTTAAACTAGAAGTTATTTTAAAGTCAGTTCCTGGTGTTTTTCTTTTCTGACAAATATTATTTTCTCTAGAGATTCTTTCCTTCCATCTTCTCTACTTGGAGCCTGTTCCCCAAAACCACACAATCTTCCCTGAATCTTTTCAACGTCCTCATCATTTCTTGGATATACTAATCCATTAATTCCTTTATTTTTGCAACTGATATTGAATGAGCTCCTGTCATTTGACAGTCATTTATTTGTCATTAGGTGACAAAGAACATGTAATTCCAGTCCTAGTCTGGTTATTTTGAAAATGAAAATTAACCCAAATGATCATAAATGAACCCACTCATGTATTCTTTATAACACTCATTTGAAAGTAATTAGTGAATGCTTATTTTCAAAGAGAGTATTATGCTGAAGAAAATTATCTAAATGGAAGCCACTTGAGCTAATTTTGCAGATGTAAAAACATAAAATTTCAGGCAGAATATAAAAAGCTGGGGTAGTCTAATTATTGATTGGTAACAGGGGACATTATAAAAGTGCATAAACCATAAGGAACTACCACCTCACACCCACTAGAATGATTATAATCAAAAGATACATAACAATAAATATGGGTAATAATATAGAGAAATTGGAACATTCCAATGCTTTTGGGAATGTAAAATGTAGCTACTTTGGAAAACAGGCTGGCAGTTCATCAGATAATTAAATACAGAGTTTCCACACGACAGAGCTATTTCACTTCCGGGTATATGCCTAAAAGAAATATAAATATGTCTCCAAAAATCTTTCGTATTAATGTGCATAGCACCTTTTTTCATGTTAGGCAAGCAGTGCAAGGTGCAGAGCAGGCCTCACGATTAGGAGGCAAACCAAATACTTTGACTCAGGGATGGGGTAGGAATGTTCCGTGATGTCCATTTTCCATCTGTATGCTGGGATGTAAAAAAAGAGAGAGAGAGAGAGGTATATGATTTATTCACTAGATCGGACAATGAGTAACTGCATGTTATATGTTCTGTACGCTCTGCTAGATGCTGGCGCCTCAAAGAAAAATGGTGAGAGCCCTGTGCCTGAGAAAATCTCAGTATAAATCTTCATGTATAAGTGACATCTTTTTTTATGATACATAAAGTACTTTACCATTTTCTGAAGCAGCGACTGTGATGTTGTACCATGGAGTCTCTTCTCTATCAAGAACCTTTGTGGTTCTAATGGTCCCAGTACTGGCATCAATGTTGAAAAATCTGTCATCTTCAGCACTGTGGTCAATGAAGTATCTAGGGAAAGAGAGAGATAATCCTTCCTTTTACTCAAGGATATAATGAAGACAGCAAATAAAACTAAAACAAGGGTAGTATTAAACCAGATATATTCAAATATTAAATGTATATTTTTAGTTTCTATATTTGCCTTTTAAGATTTGCCTGGCATCCTTATATTTGCATAGAGCTGACATCAATTATTTTTATCTGCCAGCCCTTAATTAATGTTTAGTTTAATTACTAATTCAACTTGAGAAAAACACCCTTCTGAACTTCGTGAATTGAATGGTAGATACTAGAAACAGAGGGATTAATAATGGAGAGAAAAAAATATACTGCCTCAGAGAAGTCTATAGTACCTTGGAAGGAAACACACTAACCTTTTTTCCCCCCCTTGAGATAGAGAGAGAGAGCACTTGCCGGGGCAGGTGGAGGGACAGAGAGAGAAAGAGAGAGAGAGAGAGAGAGAGAGAGAGAGAGAGAGAGAGAATCCAAAACAAGCTCCACACTGTCAATGCAGAGCCTGATGTGGGGCTCCATCCTATAACCATGAGATCATGACCTGAGCAGCATTTGGGAGTCAGATGCTTAATCAACCAAGCCACCCAAGTGTCTCCTAAAAACTAAACCCTTAGTGAAACTTCTCATTTCTATATGGACAAAATTTTTAGGATAACAGGAGACATCAGGTGTTTATTCTGGAGTTTCATTATAGTTTAGATTTGAAGAGTCATATAAAATAAAAAACAAAACATTTCAGTTAACTACCATAGTATCTCTATCACCTAGGCCCTCCCCTTGTTTAGTGATAAAAATGAGAAAACAAATAAATGGGAGGTAGGTCTCATTATTGGCCACAAATCATCTTCCCTCTCCAATGCTGAAATGTAGAGCTCTTTCATGTTAGTTTTGGTGTCCAGCTTCCTTTAGCAAATAGATGAGCACCGGGTGTTGTAAGTGTTGAATCACTAAATTGCACACCTGAAACTAATATTACACTGGATGTTAACTAACTGGAATTTAAATAAAAATTTCAAAAAAAGAAGAATGAGTTGACAGTGATGATGTTCTATTCCATATTTGGGGCAAGATTTCCTGAGACATGGCATATTCCTCCTTATGTTCTGCCACTGACCCACTGACACAAAAGGGACATGCTGCGGCTGATCCTCTGATCCCAGAAGGAAGATGAGACACACAAGGACAAAGTTGTCCCCGTTCAGGTACCCCATCCTAGAGGGGAGCTACCTAGTAAATGAGCAGATGGATGATTGAACGCATTGGAGTCAAAAGTGCTGGCAAACAAAACCCAGCCTAGTTCACTAGTTCAGCTGATCTGCAGCTAGTTCTCTCTCTCTCTCTCTCTGTCTCTCTCTCTCTCACACACACACACACACACACACGCACATGCGCGCGCGCACACACACACACACACACACACACACACAGTGGCTATAAATCTATATCCCTAAATTTTGGAGTTTTATGTTATCCAGCAACAGTTTATTAACATAAATACAAAGCAAAATATAGTGAACAATCATTGTATGTTCTATAAATGTTCCAAACTATTTCTAGAACTATTTAAGGAAGAGTGTTTTCTCCTCTCCTTAAATCTCTAATATTTTCCCTCTTTCCTTAACTTCAGCTTAAGTAATATTTCATCTACTGGGGTGCCTGGGTGGCTTAGTCGGTTAAGCGTCCGACTTTCGCTCAGGTCATGATTTCGCGGTTCGTGGGTTCGAGGCCCGCGTCGGGCTCTGTGCTGACTGCCGGCTCAGAGCCTGGAGCCTGTTTCAGTCTGTGACTCCCTCTCTCTCTGACCCTCCCCTGCTCATGCTGTCTCTCTCTCTCTCTCTCTCTCCTAGAAATAAATAAAACATTTAAAAAAATTTTTAAAAATAATTTTTCATCTAGATCTGCAGAACAAAAATGAATTGGTTAGGTACAAAAAACTAGGGGAAGAATATTTGCAATACAAGAAACCAAAGCGCAAATATCCGAATTAAAACAATAACTTGGTTAGGTTAAGAAACAGCGTGTGTTTCACTGTGGCTAGCCAGATAGAATGAGGTCTGTGGCTGGGGGTAGGATAAGCAATCTGTGTACCACATGGTAGATAGTTCTTACCTTTTCAAAAGAGGAACAGGAGATTTTTTTAAAGTTTACTTATTTATTTTGAGAGAGAAAGTGCACACACACGTGAGTGAGCAGTGGAGGGGCATAAAGAAAGGAAGAAAGAATCCCGAGTAGGAAGCAGTCAGCAGGAGCCCAATGCAGGATCTGGTCTCACAAACCCTGAGATCATGACCTGAGCTGAAACCAAGTGTCAGACTCTCAACCAACCGAGCCACCCAAGCACCCAAAAGGGGGATTTTTAAACAAAGGAAATATGTACTTATTTACGTGCTGGAAAAATCATAGTGGCTACTTTGACTCTTAGACTGCAGAAAGTTAACTATTCAGAAAAGAAATAGTGTTGTCTTGTAACAAAAGGTGAGAAAAGGAAGAAAATGGAAAAAACTGTATAAACTAACAGTATGTATTGGTACAGCCTATAGAAATCTTTATTGGAATGGAATTAGTAAAGGGGAGAAATTACAAATGACTTGTTTTTCCTGTGGTGGTGGTGGTGTGTGTGTGTGTTTCATCTACCAGGTAACTGATAAGCCTATTTATGGAGCTGGATAGAGGTAGAGGGAAAAATAACTCCCTTTGGGAGAAAAATAATTTGGGAGAAATCAATGATTTTGATATGTTATGCCTTAGAAGTCAATTAGATAAACATGTGGAATAAAAGCCAGAGAATTGGATATGAGTGTGGAGATCGAGTTTTCTGAACAGTAAATATCCATTTGAGATATATCAGCCTAAATTTAAGGTAATGGGAAGAGTATAATTTCATCAGGGAGAGAACTGTAGGAGAAAAGTGAAATATTGAGCTCTACAACACCCATACTTCTGAGCCAAAAGCAGCCCAGCATCTGTCCGTGAGCAGGCGCAAGGAGAGGAAGAGTCTAAGGGAAGAAAGAAAGTGGGAATCGGATTGCACAGAAGCCAAGAAAGGTAGGTATTTCTAAGTGAACAATTATAGTGAATTCTATTAAAAGGCTGAGTGAAGTTCGTAAGGGTTGATTGGATTTCGGAAGATGGGCATCGTTAGTTAACTTGAAAAAAGAATAGTTTCTATAAAATATAAAGTGTTTTTTTTTTTTTTTTTTTTAATAGTGGACTCAAGACTCTATTGAATGTGAATATACGAAGCCCAGGAGTCACAATATTTTACTGGAGATCTTTACCTGAGAACAGAGACCAGAGAAAGTAGTGCTATATACCATCAGAGAAATGACTCAACATATTTTCCCTTTTATTGGGGATATTAAGCACTGTCTTTGCTGAAGGTAATGAGTCTTTTGAAAGAGTGAAATATCTAAAAAAATGTATAATTTATGAGAAGGTGAGCAGTATTGGGTTCCAGAGAACAAATGCAGGGATTTCCATCAAAATTAACAGAGACTCTTCTTCTGTTTTAACATGAAGGAAATCTCAGAAGTTTGGTAAATACATAGGATAGATGATTGTGGTGGTGGAACTATTTCAAAATTCATCATAGTTTCTGGAACAGAGTATAATGTCACTGAAATACAACTTCATGCCTTTAATAAGCTTAATGTGTTAAAAGAGTATGTAGAACGTAGTGCTAAGGTGTGAAATCTTGTAACAACCTGTGGAAACACATGCACACACATTATAGAAGATTAATAGCATTGTGCAGATCAAAACTAGAGAGCATCCTAAGCAACTGCCTTTAATGTAAAGAACGTTAGAAGAGCCAGAATATAACCCTTGTAACCTGTGTTAACAAAGCAAGGAATAGAGCATTTTGCGTTGATTTTTTTAACAATAACTATATGTTAATTGAAGACAGTTCAATTTAATGAAGGCATTTAAACAGGAAGAATAGGTATAAAGCAAAACTGGTTCAGAGAAAAGTCACGAAATCCAGATACTACAGAACAGTGGGAAAGGGTGATGTCATTGGGCTTTCCCAAAGAATTGGGTCATGGTGCACTAAAACTGATTTTGACTTGTGCTCACATCACCAAAAATTCTCATAATATTCTTTTTCCAGAGGCCCAGGTGCCCCAAAAATTGATCAGTATTGAAGGGTAATAATTAGAGAGAGGTCCATTATGGATCATCTAGAAAGCACAAAATTTAAAACTAAGAGAGAGACAGACACAGTGAGATATGTTAAATCTGGTTGCAAAACTGGGTGGCCTTTTTCAGAGCACTGTTCTTCTGGTATTGACTACTGGACTAGCAAGAGAAAAAGAGAAAGAGAAGCTTCCTGCTGTAGCTTTTGATACGATAGAGAAAGAAGTTCTTTTCTTCATCCATACATTAATGCTCCTATCAATATTACTGCCCTTATGCATCGTGTTACACTTGAGTAATAAGAGCGTACTTTAAAATAAAATATAAATGTTTTATTTATATGATTTAATCATATCGTCAACTATGCCCATGAGAAAATGTAACTACTCTCTTTGTAGCAGAGATGACTAGAGGTGTTTGGTGGGGAAAGTTCAACTCACAGTGCATTTTCAAAGGCTAAATGCATAGATAGGCTCTTGAAGATACACAGATAAAAAAGAATGTTGCAGGGGCTTTTCCCAAGAACAAAGTCCCCAATTTTCATATACCTTAGAGGTAATGACCTCTTCAGACCCTTTGAAAACATCTATATTCTTTTACTCTGTGTACAAGCTGTAGACATTGGGCTTAGTTTATTCAGAATGCAAAGATGAAGTCTTTGGAAATTTGATTCTAAAATAGATCTAGCATATGTGTGAAAATGGTGTTAAGCAGTAAGGAAATTAACACAGGTTTGGAAACCAAGTAAATAATGTTCGTCAAGCTAAGCCTCTTATTAGCTCTGTGGCTTAATCAATGTATCAGCTCTCTGAGCTTTCTCTGTAAGCAAAATGCAGATACGATCTACATCAAAATTT